CCTACATAACATAACAATAACTTCAAATGAGCAAGTTTGATTAATTATTTTAGGAAATTGCAAAAATTGAAATGTGGGGATTCCCTTGCTACTCCTTTGCTGTACAGATAATTAAAAGGAAAAGTTTGCCATCAGGAACTATATAAAACATTTTAAAATTTTATTTTGCTTTGCGAGGGAAGTAAATCAGGAACTAAAAATTTGGAGTTTTCACTTTTTTGTTTCTTCAGAAATAATCAACGAGTCCATAGTAACAGAATAATTTGTTCTAAATTAAATAAGTAAAAACACAATTCCTCTCTAACTTCATCATTTTTTTCTCTCTTCATGTAACTATCTTGGTGATGCAGTGTCTAGACTTCTTGGAACAAGTGATGGAGTCTGGAATTTATTCTGTGGGTTTGAAAATGGCTATTTGGGTTTCCATCACACACCATGTGAAAACCCAGTGCTTTCAGAATATGTAAAAATCATCAACCTGTTTACCAAAAAAGAAGACTTATCCATGGAATGTCAAAATGTTACACTGCCACCAACAGGGACATATATAGATTTATCCATTTTATATATATCATCTCATTGTAATATGGTTCCCATCAGCCACTGTATCAAAAAAAAACAAACAAACAATAATTTGTACTCATGAAAGAATTATGGAAGATACTTTCTAGTTTTCGAGAAAAACCAGTAAAGTAAATTAGCTTAAAGGATAGACATCCATTCTTGTTCTGGTTTTAGTAAGTAGTCCACAGAATGCATGAAGTCAAAGAGCAGAGTTTTTATATCACAGGTCCTTCTTGGTTTTTGTCATTTATTAGCTGGATAAAAAGCAGTCTTAGGCACTGAGATCTAAACCACATTTGTGCAGCCCGCATTATCAAGTCTGATGGTAGTTTATCTTGGCTCTTAAGGAAACCAAATAGAATGCTTGCAGAGGAAGTTCAGAGGTATTTCCACCAGTTACCTAAAGCTGAGAGTTGATCTTGCACATGGCTGTAGCCATTTCCTATAAGCTCCTGTGCCTAATTTTACAAGTCTGTCACATCTTGAAGCTTTACCCTAGAAAATATACGTCTACCACAGAAAAGTTTTACTGCAAAAGTTTATTGAGAGATAATAATAGTCTTACAGAGTATAAAACTTCATAGCTTTGACTTATTAAGATAAGCCTGTCCCTAATTTTAAAACAGCATTCTCCAGTTCTATTAGATTTTCTGTGACACCAAAAAAAAAATTAACCAGAAAGGTTTTTCTTTTAATTAAAAAATACGTGACACATTGAACTGAGCTGATAGCATTTATACTAAAATTCTCTATAAGTCCTGTTCAGAAGAGCAGCATAAAGTTAAATTATAAAATAAGCATAAGGGGTAGTAGCTCTTCTGGAAGAAAATTAGGTATTCAGAGTATAAAGTGAAAATTAAAAATCTATGGAGATGAAATGACAATAAAATGTTAACCAAGGCATTATTATTCTATATTCTTAATTGGAACTCCAATTATTAAAGTGTTTTTTTTTTAAGTTGGCATATTATACATGGTCAGGGGCTCCCCTGGTGGCTCAGATGGTAGAGAATATGCATGCAATGCATGAGCCCTGGGTTCAGTCCCTGGGTTGGGAAACTCTGCTGGAGGAGGGCATGGCGACCCAGTCCAGGATTCTTGCCTGGAGAATCCCATGGACAGAGGAGCCTGGCGGGCTGCAGTCCGTGGGGTCGCAAAGAGTCGGACACTGGTGAGCGACTAAAGCACACACACACAGTCATGATCATGGAAACTCTTAGGATTTTATTTCAAAAGTCATGAAGTTGACTGAAAAGTGGACTCAATCCTACATCAACAGAACTGCAGTGCATTCACAGTGTATCCCAGTTGGTCGATATGTAAAATGGGTGAGCCATCCTGCCTAACTCTGCTGTTCTGAAGAGAAGATGACTGAGGATTTAAACTGTAAGCACTTCAGTTGTGTCAACTTTCATAACTTCATCAAATACCATGGAAGGTGTGAAGATTTACTGAGTCCTTCTACTGAACAGAACAAAGATGAGGTTTGGGATAACTGCATGATTTCAAGAAACTTATAGAAAAGAATCACACAAAATGCTTTCCACCAACTACACTGCTTGGAAACCCTGGTTTGGCACAAGAAGCCTGAAACGGAGGCAGATTCTCATCCGAGGTCATGAATAGCGCCCTGTGTGGCCCCAGCCCACGTCCCTGTGTCTAATTCACAGAGAGTTCTTCTTAGCGATGTGGCCACTGGAGCAGGGGTGGGTCAGGCGGTATCCAGTGACACTGTCTTCTTATAGAAAGGACACCCGCAGTCACTGATGACAACAAAGTTTGGAATTACTACCTCTGGCATAAAGAATACCAAGATCAGTGAAGGAGTATCTTTGTTGTGTTGTACATCTTGGAAAACCGTGACCAAAGCATAGAACACGAGCCACAAAGAGTATTAACTCTATTGGTAAAAATATATTCCCACTTGCTACTCATCTACTAGGATTTTTTACATCTAATTAAAGAAACTTTTTCCAAAGTATATTCTTTAGAGTACTAGTTTTAAGCAAAATCAGTAGGTGCTAAAAAGTTTTAGAAACTGATTTAAAGTCCCCTTTCTGCAGGCTTCTGTAAAACTGATTTCTCAGAGTTTTAAAATTCTATGTCTATAGCAAAGAGAGCTTCCCAGGTGGCACTAGTGGAAAAGAATCCACCTGCCAATGCAGGAGATGCAAGACATGGGTTCAGTTCCTGGGCTGGGGATCCCCTGGAGAAGGAAATGGCAAACCGCTCCAGTATTCTTGCTGGGAAAATCCCACGGATGGAGGAGCCTGGTGGGCTACAGTCCATGGGGTTGCAAAGAGTCGGACACAACTAAGCACGCACGCAGTCATATCCAAGAGGCTACACTATGCAGAATTGCTCAAATGCACTGAAACACAGAAAGCTTTTTTCCCCCAACTGAGCTAACATTCTAAAAAAAAATGTGTAGGTAATAAATAGTAAATTAAGAGATACTTAAAACCTGTATGACAATAGAACCACCCATCTGAAATGGCCAAGGAACTGTTACCTCCAACACTTTCTGGGACAGTTTTGTTGGCAGTGCAGACACTTGCCATGGGTGCTAGACATGAAATAATATTTGCTGAAATGTGACTCCAGAGGTCTGTACTTTTTTGAAAAATTGGCAGCAGTTGTATCCCTGAGTAACTGTCTGCTTAAGGACACAAGGACAGTGATGAGCAGAGTGGGCTAATGCACTTGTTTAAAGGTTATATGAACACTTTATAGGGGTGGGGAAGTATCTATACAGAATTCAGAATGATCAGTGACTAAGAGGCATACAAGATGTGTAATTGGAAATGGAAGACTTTCTTCTCAGTCTTTTTATTCAGCCACTGAACAGTTATTCTATTAAGTACCAGGCACAGCGTAGGGTGTTGGAAGATGAAGGGATACGCAACACTTGGCCCATGCCTTTAGGGAAATGAGAGTCTGGACAATTTTAATAGAAAAGTGATGAACTCTGTGAGAGCACAGAGAATGGGGTGCAGAAATCTCTGATACTTTTCAGCTATGAAGCTAAATTAGTAATATCCCCAAGCCTTGCAAACAGTTGTCCTTAGTCCACATTATGAGGTTATTTTCATATTGATAGGGATGGCACGCAGTTGTTATCAGCAGTAACACATGGATTACGGGCAGCAGTTTGGTTTGTTTGATTTAGAGTTGCTTCACTAAGGTTGTCTCTCTTTTCAGCAAACAGAATTAGTAGGACAGTACTTGTTTAGGATGGAGAAGCATTTGTCCAGAGTTGCTTTATTTCTCCATGAATAGTAAACAACATCTGATGAGCCAATCTCCATTCAGATATTTCCCTGGATTCAGAATTATCATGCTTCTTGGATACTGAAAGTACCTACCAATGCATAACATTGTCATTTAGATTTTGCCTTGTTTATGCGTGCCCTTCATATGTGAACTTAGCGACTTTAGAAGCATAAAGAATTATGAGCTTGCTGTTCCCATAAGAATTGTTTCAATGAAACTGTGTTTTGAGAAACCGTGTTTTCATTAGATGATTCTGGCTCTGAAATTTTGTCATGATCAAGTTTAGAATCTCAGAAATATAGTTGATTCCATGGAAGATTCCATTCTCAAAAGAGTAGAACTTCAGCTTTTCAGAGGGTCTGTATATTAGAAACAGGAATATGGGTCATACTTTGTGCTTACAGAGGTGGGCATATACTTTTTCTGTGTCTTCAATTTTTTGTTGCCAAAATACATGTTATCCCCAACACATATTTTACTGAATCCTACAACTTAGTGAAAAACAACTGAACTATTATATTATTCATCTAGATTAAGAAAATTTGGAGAATTAAAGGGGTGGAAAAGGAAATACTGTCAGTGACATGGAGTGCGGGGAGGAGAAAAAGGCAGTTTCAACAAGATCTGGAACACTATTTCCTTTATTTATTAAAAAAAAAAAGCTATCAAATGACAAAAGACGTGACAACATTTGCCAATTGTGATTGTTGGTAGATAAGTATTTCTTACATTATCCCTCTATTTTACTTTAGTTAGAAAAGATTTTTAATAATATGATTTATTCATTCAACAAACAATCTGTTGAGAGCCTACTATGTGCTGAAAGTAAAATGGAGGAAAAACAGAGGCCAGCCCTGCCCGCCTGGCAGGCATTTGTGTTTGGGTGTGAGAGTGAGGTGTTTGGGAGCTAATGCAGAATGTTCAGAAGGACATGAGGGGATGGGAAGAATGAACCTGTGCTGATATCGGAGAGGCGGGCTTCTGTTGGTTCTGAAGAGATGGCTATTCTATACTGCTAGAAACTGCATTATTTTTGGTCAAAATAGACTTTAAGTTTAATCATGCATTGGCGGGGGCCACACATGGAAAAGTGTTATGTGCTATCACTGTTCTCGCCGGCCGCATGCCCAAGTTCACCTGCATTTCTCTTTGATTTCCTCCAGTACATGACTGCCGCGGCTCCTATGCAAGGGACCTACATCCCCCAGTACACGCCTGTGCCTCCGACAGCTGTTTCCATTGAAGTAAGTCCGTTTCTTCTTACAAAACAAGGTTAGGGCAGATAAATCTCAGTCCACCATAAACCCCCCAAAATCCTTAGTTGTGATTTTTGTGCTGCTTCAAAGTTTGCCGTTGCAAGCTTACTCTGTGAAAGTGTGGACTTTACTTGAACATGCCTTTGCCTTGCTTTGCACAGGACACAGGCAAATTTGGTATCCAGGTCTCAGAGGAATGCCATTTTTATGCTTAGAGAAAAGACCAACGATCAAATAATGACTCCATCAAATGAGAGCCACAAACAGTCAGAAAGAGGAAGGGAAACATTTGAAGCCTTTTGAATAAGCCAGTTCTCTGATGCCCTGTTACTCTCTGATGCCCTGTTACTCCGTAAACCAACATGAGCAGCACCGCCTGAGAGCCTGTTAGAAATACACACTTTCAGACCCTCCCTGGATCTACTGAGTGAGAATGTGCATTTTCACAAGAGCCCTTAAGGCTCAAGGCGCACATTAAAAATTAAGGTGGACTGGCTTAGCACACTGGTTCTCACATTTTTCTGCATGTTGAAGTTATGTCAAGATGTTTTTTTTAAAAAATAGTGATCTTTGCCAGAGAGTCTGATGTGATCCAGGGTGTGCACCGGACCTGGGAATTTTTAAAGGATGCCAGGTGATTCTTTTGTGTGCCAAAGATGAAGGACCACTCCTCTCACCAGTGAACCTTGATGGGACTGTGACGTCCTACAGCAGTGGAGGAGAACTTGTACCACTCTTGTTGGTGCAGACCATGAGTGATAAAGTCATGTTGGCCTTGCTGGAAGCTTTCTCCTCTCCTGTCTTTCCACGGGGCTGAATCCATTTCCTCTATACATTGTCTTACTGGACAGAGCCAGAAAGATACTGGATAGGAGGGGCATAGCGCTATGTGGACGGTGGTGAGAACTTAAGACTTCTCCCTGCTTCCAGCCCTCCTTCACCTTCTCCTGGTGCACATCTGCTGTTGTGGTCACAGTGGATCTCTGCCACCAGCTGGCACTCCTCTGGAGTTCATGCTGTTGCTGTTCCTCACGTTGGTACCACTCAATGTGAGAGGCCAGCGTGACTCTTCCAACCTCTGGAGCCGCACAGATTAGGTGAAATTTTTAGAGACCAAATTAGATCTTTTCAAAATGCATCTTTGTTTGCTTGTTTTTGGTGTGTTACCAATGTTTGCTAATACCAAGATTTGGGAAGCACAGACATTAAAGAGGACAGTACCATGTCATTTAGGAAACCAAGGAGGAACAACTTTTTAATCTTTTATGTGTTCCAGACTTATAAGCCCTCGAGAATGTTTCACTATTAAAGAGGTTTTAATTAGCTTTTCAGATTTTCAAGCACATATGATTAAAGTATATATTCTTTTCTAGATTTAGCTATCAAAACCCATCTAGGCCATGAGAAAAAATTATGTATCTAGACATCATAGGTGGCTTTGAGCATCAATGTCTGCCACATATCCACATCTCTCTATCTGTACACCAAATGTGTGTGCTTATCCACAGAATCTGAGGTTTTTGAGGACTCCAAAACAAGGAGACACACTTGAGAGCATTGCTTATTGGAAACAGTCTAATTATATCAATAAATCTGGGATTTATAAAGAAGTATATCACTAAGAATTATATCAGTATACCCTAATATATTGCCCTGAGTTGTGCTTATAAAGGAAAGCACTGATTCATTTTCTATGTAAAAACACTCATTGAAAATTCACCACTATTCATACAAGTCAATGCATTTAGGAAACTCAGAAAACTGTGTAATACCAAACAGTATATTAGGGGTGAAAAAATATTGACTTCATAAAGGGAGAATTTTCACATTTTGAGAAGCAATTTCAGGCAGCTTCTGTTAAGGACAGACATTGGTCAAAAGCCTGCATCTCTGCAGAGTCCACGGCTATAATATAAGTACAACCAGGAGAATGTATTCATATGGATTCCCTCCCTAGGCTGACTAACTACCAAACCTTTCTCAGGACCAAACATAACTTCTGAGTGAGGACCAACTAAAGAAACCCATTCTTGTTGGCATCTGTGAGCAGCAGAAGCCGTCAAAAGGCTAAAGGAAGGAGCAAATCAAAATTAAGGGTGTTTGTTTCTTTTTCTGACACCTCTAAATGAATTCTAGTTCGTGTTGAGGAAAATAAAAGTAAGTAAAACAAATCAAATTCGTTAAGGGAATGCGTATTTGACAATGTCCTTTTAGAAGAATTCCAAACCTGGGTATAGATTTTTATTAATAAGGTCCATTGTTTTGCAGGATCATAGAGACAGGGTAGGGAAATTTATTCCCAGGAAAATGCTCAAATGTAGACGTTTTATAGGAATTCTGCATGCTCCTTTTATTAAGGAGTTATTATTTAGTGTGGCTCAGGCAACTGCAGCTTAACATGATTTCCTGATCATTTGAGCGCTACAGGGTCTTCTGATGACAAGTCTTCTTAGTGACACATGGAGGTAAATTCCTCAGACGAGTGCTGTGGTTTTTCTCCTAGTGTTTACTGAGGCTTTATGTAGCTGAGTGCAGCTCTACGCAAGCCCGATGCCAGAAAGCACAGGGTTATGCCCTACAGTCCATCTGCAAGAAGCCCTTCTGCTCAAGCCAGTGAGGCTCTGTGTTCTTGTTGCCTCCACAGGGTGTTGTGGCTGATACCTCTCCCCAGACAGTGGCACCTTCGTCCCAGGACACGAGTGGTCAGCAGCAGCAGATAGCAGTGGACACAGCCAGCGAGCATGCATCTGCATATTCCTACCAACAGTCCAAGTAAGTCCTGGCCGTGCTAAACTCTGTCCCTCCAGATCTGCCATCTGGACTTCACCCTCTCATGTGGCATCTGCTAGCTTTAGCTGCAGCAGAGACCATCTCAAACTCAGTGACATTCACCTAGTTCATGATTCTGTGGGTTGGCATTTGGGCGAACCTGAGGCAAATGCTTCTTCCGCTCTTGACTGGACTTGTGTGAGCATCTGGGTGCAGGAGCTGGGCATCTTCACAGTTCTGCTTCTGGGCATCGGTCGTCTGATGGCTGTGGGATGGATCACATGGACCCAGGTGATGCTGACCTTGGAAGTCTCAGAATTAAGAGAACAGCAAGAGAGGGTGCCAGAAAACCAGCATGTTTTCAGCCCCATAGGCCAAAGCAAATCATGTGGCCAACCCCAAAGATAATGTAAGAATTCACTACCAAAAGGCAGGGGCACTGTAGCCATTTTTACCAAAAAATTCTATCATACACATTTTTGGAAAAACTCCAGTGTTCCCACTTGAAACTGCATAGTGTGCCTGCACTGTGGTCTTGCTGTCTTCATTCTTAAATAAAGACAGTAACATGCCCCTGGCAAGACTGCTTCAAACTTACCCAGTAAAACAGTTTATGAAAATGAGTATGGTGAAATATAAAACAATATGGGATAGAGACTTATTCAGGAATTAAATGGCAAAGCAAAAATCAAGGAGTCAGAATTACTGCTGACAAGCCTTAAGTCACTTAGAAAGCCAAGTACAGCTGGCTTTGTGTGGAGTATCATGGAGATTAAAATTTGAGTGGTTTGATTGAAACCAAAGGACTTAACAGACCTTCAGTCTGTATACAGAAGTTCTCTCACGGTAACTGTTCTACTTTGTAGGTAATGGTCAAAGCCCTGGTTGGATAGAGAATTCCCAAAGACTCTTCCTGTTTGCGGAACAGTGGTGCAAATGAGTGGTGCTCATTTCTTGATCATAAATTTTCTTTCCTCTCAATTCACATTTAGAGATTTGTTTGTTGTTAAAAGATTTAATCACTTTAATGGCACCTTCCAGTATGTGGTTTCACTTCTAAAGTGGACCCTCCAAAGTAAATGTGCTAGAGTACTGGAGACTGGTTTTGTGGAAGACCATTTTTCATGGACTGGGGAGGGGTGGTGAGGGGGTGGTCTGGGGATGATTCAAGTACATTACATTTACTGTGTACTTTATTTCTATTATTATCACCTTGTCATATATTTACACAACTCACCATAATGCAGAATCAGGGAGACCCCTGAGCTTGTCTTCCTGCAGCTAGACGGTCCCTTCTGGGGCAGTGGGGAGCGGCTCTAAATGCAGATGAAGCTTCCTTTGCCCCTCACCCACTGCAGAGCAGCCCAGTTCCTAACAGACCAGGGACTGGTGCTAGTCCGTGACCTGGGGGCCAAGGACCCTGGGGCTAGAATGTGACTTAACCTTACAAATACAAGGTATTATTATTATCATTACTACTGCTACTATCAATTTTATATAATGACTTATATATATATATATAAAACTTTCAGGAAATACCTGTAGCAAATAATGCATTTTGGCTTTTATTAGGCTTTTAATTTTTATTTTATATTGCAGTATAGTTGAATGACAATGCTGTTAGTTTCAAGTGTACAGCAAAGTGATTGAGTTTTATTTACATATATATGTATTCTTTTTCAAATTCATTTCCATTTAGGCTATCACAGAATATTGAGTAGATCTCCCTATGCTACACAGTAGGTCCTTGTTCCTTATCTGTTTTAAATACGTATATATATATGTCCATATCAAACTCCCAATTTATCCCTCCTGCCACCATTTTCCCTTTTGGTAACCATCAGTTTACTAAGCCTATGAGTCTGTTTCTGTTTTATAAATAGGTTCAGTTTTATCATTTGTTTAGATTGTGTTTATAGACTACATCATATGCTATTTGTCTTTCTCACTCTGACTAGCTTCAGTTAGTATGATAATCTCCAGTGCTGGCATGTTGCTGCAAATAGATTTTTTCTTCTTTTTAATAGCTGGGTAAGGTTCCATTGTGTATACATGCATCTTCCTTATCCATTCATCTGCAAGTGGACATCAAGGCTGCTTCCACGTCTTAGCCATTGTAAACAGAGCCGCAGTGAACACTGGGATGCATGTGTATTTTTGAACCAGGCTTTTCTCTGGATATAGCCCAGGATTGGGATTGTTGGGTCATGTGGTAGCTCTGTATTTAGTTTTTAAAGAAATATCCATATTGTTTTCCACAGTGGCTGTGTCAATTTACATTCCCACCAAGAGTGTAAGAGGGTTTTTTTCACACCCTCTCCAGCATTTAGTGTTTCTAGACTTTTGATGATGGCCATTCTGCCAGATGTGAAGTGATATTCATTGTTAGTTTTTATTTGCCTTTCTCTAATAATGAGCAATGTTGAGCACCTTTTCATGTGCCTCTTGGCCATCCATCTGTCTTCTTTGGAGAAACACCAATGTAGGTCTTCTGCATTTTTTGACTGGGTTGTTTTGTTCTTTTTTGTATTGAGCTGCATGATCCATTTATATACTTTAGGAATTAATCCCTTTTTGGCCACATCATTTGCAAATATTTTCTCTCATTCTGTGCATTGTCTTTTTATTTTATTTATGGTTTACTTTGCTGTACAAGAACTTTTGAGTTTAATTAGGTCCCATTAAACCATCACGATTCAATATGGGGAAGATTGCACCTTTCTGAGAATTTGTCCATTTCTTCTAGGTTGTCCATTTTATTGGCATATAGCTGCTCTATTTATATTTGCTTTTTACATCTGTTATTTTAGGATATGGACCAAAAAAGATATTGCTGCAATTTGTGCTTTCTGCTAAGGGTTTTATAGTATACAGTCTTACGTCTCTTGTCTTTAATCCATTTTGAGTTATTTTTGTGTATGGTATTAAATAATGTTCTAAATTTGCTCTTTTACATGCAGCTGTCCAGTTTTCCCAGCATCATTTATTGAAGAGACTGTTTTTTACCCATGGTAAAGCCTTGCCTCCTTTGTCATAGATTAATTGATCACAAGCGCATGGGTTTACTTCTGGGCTTTCTCTCCTGTTCCATCCATCTACATTTCTGCTTTTGTGCCAGTACCACACTGGAGCTGTCAGTATAGTCTGAATTCAGGGAGCCTGATTCCTCCAGCTTCTTTTTTCTTTCTCAAGGTGGCTTTGACTACTTCGAGCCTTGTATGTCTCCTTGCAAGTTTTAAGATTGATTTTTTTGTTCTAGTTCTATAAAAATGCTATTGATAATTTGATAGGTATTGCATTGAATCTGAAGATTGTCTTGGGAAACATAGTGATTTTGACAATATTGATTTTTCCAGTTCAAGAACATGGTATATATATATATCTTCATCTGGTTAATGTCATCCTCAATTTTTTCATCAAAGTGTTAATAGTTTTTAGAGTACAGGTCTTTTGCTTCATTAGGTAAATTTATTCCTAGGTATTTTATTATTTTTGATGTGATGGTAAAAAAAGTGTTTCCTTAATTTCTCCTTCTGATCCTTCCTTATTAGTAATAAAACAGATTTCTGTGTATTGATGATTTTGTATTCTGCTTTAACGAAATCACTGATGAGCTCTAGTAGTTTCCTGATAAAATCTTTAGCATTTTCTACGTTTAGTATCATCTTATCTGCAAAGAGTGATAGTTTTACTTCTTATTTTCTAATGTGGATTCCTTTTATTTCTTTTTATTCTCTAACTAATATATCTAGAACTTTCAAAACTTGTGGAGCGAAAGTGATGAGAGTAGACATCCTTTTTTTGTTACTGATCTTAATGATGAGAAACTGAAAGCATTTCCTCTGAGGATGATGTTAGCAGTAGGTTTGTCATCTATAGACTTTATTATGTTGAGGTATGTTTCCTCTATGCCCACTTTCTGCAGAGTTTTTATCATAAATGGGTGTTGAATTTTGTCAAAAACTTTTCTGCATCTATTGAGATGATCATATGGTTCTTATTCTTCAATTCGCTGATAGATTTGCATATATCAAAGAAACCTTGAAACCCTAAGATAAATCCCACTGGATCGTGGTTTATGACCTTTTAATATATTGTTGGATTCAGTTTGCTATCTAGTATTTTGTTTATGATTTTGCATCTATGTTCATCAGTGATATGGGCCTGTAATTTTCTGTTTTTATGGTATCATTATCTGGTTTTGGTATCAGGGTGATGGTGATCTCACAGAGTGAGCTTGGGAGTGTTCCTTCCTCTGCAATTTTTTTGGAATAGTTTCAGAATAGCCATTAAGTCTTCTATAAATGTTTGATAGAATTTGCTTGTGAAGTCATCTGGTCCTAGACTTTTGTTTCTTGAGAGTTTTTAAATCACAGTTTAAATTTCAGTACTTATGATTGGTCTGTTCATATTTTCAGTTTCTTCATGGTTCAATATAGGGAGATTGTACCTTTCTAAGAATTTGTCTATTTCTTCTAGGTTGTCCATTTTATTGGCATGTAGTTGCTTATCCTTTGTATTTCTGTGGTATCCACTGTAACTTCAATTGTAATTTTATTGATTTGAGCCCTTTTCATTTTTTCCTTGATGAGTCTAACATTTTATCAGTTTTGTTTATCTTTTCAAATATTGTTTCATTTATTTCTCCTCTGATCTTTATGATTCCTTTCCTTCTACTAACTGTGTATTTTGTTTGTTCTTCTTTCTCTAGTTGCTATAGGTGTGAGTTTAGGTTGTTTCAGATTTTTCTTGTTTCTTGAGGTAAGATTGTATTGCTATAAACGTCCCTCTTAGAAATGCTTCTGTCATGTCTCATAGGTTTTGGATAACTTTGTTTTTGTTGTCATTTGTGTTTATATATTTTTTATTTCCTCTTTGATTACTTCATGACCCTTTGGTTGTCTGGTAACATATTATTTAGTCTCCATGTGTTTGTGCTTTTTTATAGTTTTGACTATAATTTATTTCTAATATCATAGTGTGTTGGCAAGAAAAGATGCTTG